TTCAACTAACCAAGCAGCTACACACCTATTAAAGAAATTGGATGTATAACATAATGTTTTTCCTAAAAGAAAACTATGGACCTAGCTAGCATAGTTAGAGAATTCTAATGTTTAAGAAAAATATAATGCCAAGCATCAACAAATACTTCCAGAAACTGGAAAAGAAGAAATACTTTCCATTCCATTTTTGGAAGACAGAACAACACTGATACCAAAGCTTGCCAAAAACATTACAAAATAAAGGGAAAGTATACAGCAGTTCCACTTATGACCATAGATGGGAAAATCCAGAACGAAATATTAACAAAGCCTATGAAATATATATATACAATCCAATAATCAAGGTGGTTTCATTCTAGAATACAATTAGTTTAATCACTTTAAAAAGCAATGTTTTCCACTATGTTGGCTAAATAAAACAAAAAAGTAAACTTCTTGAACAATAACATGAAAAATTCAACATCTACACATGATAAAAGCTTTCCAAATACAGGTTTAATGCAGGTTTAGATACCCACTAAAAGGTTTCTACAAAGCATGATACTTAATGATGAGCAGTTCAGAACTTCCCCTCTGAGATCAGGAATGAGATGAGATCAGCCATTACTGCCATTTTTCAACATGTTCTAGTACAGTATGGCAAGAATAAAATAAACATAAGGATTGGAATGAAATAAAGTTTTCATTTCAATTTGTGAGTGAAAGACATCATTGCCTACATAGAAAACCTGGAAGAATCTAAAAAATTACTAGGATAGGTGAGTTTAGCATGATTACTAGATGCTAGGTCAATATACAAAAACCAACTATGTTTCTATTAGCAAGTAGCAAGTGTTGGAGAGTTACCACTTATAGTAACATCAAAATAACCAGCTTTCTAAAAGTAAATCTAGGAAACATGCAAAATCTTTGCACATACAATTATAAAACATGGAAAATTAAAGAAAACCTAAATGATTGCAGGGATAAACCTATACTGGCAACAGAATGAATAAATAAACTAATAGAATACAGTGCGATCTGGGACAGATCCATATATGTGGTAAAGGTCGTGGCAGTGCAGGGTGGCCGAGAAAGGCAGTTTCAATAGTTCCTGGAACAATTCAGTGCAGGTATTCCTCTTTTAATGACCTACCTGTTTAATTATTGTTCTGATTTATGACTGAGGCAGTGTTTGGACTTATGACCCATCTTTTTGTAGTTCAGTTCTGTACATTTTATTTATAGAGGCTTAATTCATGTCTTTTTTATACAGCACATTTTATTTATGCAGTATAAATAAATGTGTAATTTTTACTAATTGTGCTATAGACTGTTATGTTGGTATACATTACAATATTGCACATAGGAGTTATGTAAATAAAACCAAAGTCAAGTGACCAATTCACATAATGACCTAGTCACAGGAATGGAACTTGATCATTAAATCATGAGTGTCTGCATCCATATGGCGGGGCTGGGGATTTGGCTCAGCAGTAGAATGCTTGCCTAGCAAGCTGGAAGCCTTGGCTTCAGTCCTCGGCACCAAAAACAGAAACTCAACATCCCCAAGAAAACAATTCAATGGAAAAAATACAGTAAAATAAAAAAAGACCAAAAGCAAGGCAACTGTATCCATATGGCATCAAGTAAAACAACTTTTGCCTCAAATTTTTCATAAAAATAAATTCCAAGTAGTTTGTACATCTAATAAAAAGAGGTTAAAAAAAAAAAACTTCTAGAGATGTCTACAATATTTTCAAGAGCTTGGGGAGGGGAAGATTTCTTAAACACTAAGGAAGATCAAGTTTAACATGATCTAATTGATCAGTGTTCCTCATAAGAAGTCATTTGAGACAAGATTCTTGCAACACATAAACAGTAAGAATTGTATTGAGCAGCTCTAAAGAGTTTCTATAAATCAATGATTTACATTTTAATTTAAAGAACTAATAGCAATGACAATATGACTGAGAGATGGAGGGAGGGAGGAAGGATAGAGAGGAGGGAAAGGAACGGGAAAAGAATTAAGATGTGGTATGTACAGGTACTAACTCCCCATAACGAAAGTAATCATTACATACTATAAAGGGGGAATTAAATTAATTTTTAAATAATTGAGAAAAAATATAAGGTATGTTTGCCAATTCAACTGCTATCTTATGTCCCCCAAGCAACCCATAATTTTTATTAAATTTTTACTTATAATAATTTTTATATGTCTTTATAGGAATCCAGTTGGTGGAAGAATTCAGCTGCTTCTTGCCATTGTAATAGCTCTTTTCCCATTTATCTCATGGGTCTACATATACATAAACAAGGACATGCGGTCTTCCTGGCCATCACACTGCAAGACAGTAATTTGAATGGGCCTAAGAATGGTGTTCTACAAGTGAGAATATGCAATTTCTTGTAAACACTGGGGTAACTGAATGGTTTTCCAGTTTATTTCAGGTAGTGTGAGCTGATACAAGAGGTAGTGTGATCTAAGAACAAGAGATTTATAAAAGCTTTTGAGAACTTTTAGGACTCCCTGGGCTACATTGTAAGAATGAGGTCTGTTGTGCTCTGGCTGCTTTTCCTGAGAGGAACTGTGCTACGTGTAGTCCAAAGGCACAAGAATGCAAGATAAGAAATGTGACTTGCTGGGCACAGCTAATGACATCCTTGATGGCCATTAGCTTCTCAGAAGGCTGAGGCAGGAGGTTTGCAGCCAGCCTGGGCAACACGACAAGGCCTTAAGATAAATAAAGCATAAAAATAAATGCATTATCTATGTGCCTTGGGCAAATATACTGGATAAACATCCTGGTGGTTATTTTCTTATCTATAAAATGGAATATCAGACCTGCTACTTACCCAATTGCTACAATCAAACTATATATGAAAGTACTCTAAAAATATGAAGCTGCAAATTTCAAAGGGCTACATGTGATTCAAATAGGAACACTGAACTCAAGGTAGGTTCTAGAGAGACCTACAGCACTAAACTAATCCCATGATACTGAGCCAGTTCAGTGGCAGGACAAGGATTCCAATTGAACCAAATCAACCACCATCTCTTGGAATAAAAGGATGTTGAGGGGAAAAAGGAACTTGGAACTAATCAAGAAGGATATAGAGAATATTAATTACTCATGATTAATTACTCATTATTCCAAGAAATAAGGCTAAAATGTTCACTTTTTAAAAAATGAGTATCTGAAGTGACCCAAGGGAGGAAGTCATTTTTTAAAGCTGTTCTCCCCACAATGACAGCCAGTACATGGTGATTGAGTGCTTGAAATGTGGCTAAGGGACTGAGAAAGTTAATTTTCAGTGTTTCCCATTTTCATTTTTAAAACAATATTCAATTATTAGAAAGTATTTGTGTGTGCCTGGAACAACTTGGGAGTGTGAATCTACTTTTTCAGCAGGAATTTGTAAAACTACGTGCAGATCAAGTCTTTGGAACAATTTAGTATTCAAATTAATGGGCTGTTAAGTATAAAATACACATCACATTTTAAAGAAATTATACTAAAGGAATGTCAAATATTTTTACATTGCTCTCAAGTTGAAAAGATATTTTAATATACTTGAATAAAATACTGTTTAAACTAATTTCATCCTTCTAGCTTTTTAAAATATAAAACATTTATGTGATTTACATTGTATTTCAGTGAGAGATCTGCACTGAAGCTTTTTATAAATGCTAGCCTCAAACTCTACACTCAGGTACTATTTTCATAAGGTTTAAGAAATACTGTAAAAGAATTAGTAAGCCAGGCTCTTAGGAGGCTGAGGCAAGAGAGTGGAAATTTTGAGCCAAGTCTGTAACTTAGCAAGATCCTTCCTCGAAGTAAATGTTTTTAAAAATCTGGGGATTATAGCTTGGTGTGAAGGTTCTGAGTTCAATCCCCAGTATTAGGGGAAAAGAAAGTACTTATCACATGTCAGGAGAATGAGAGTAACTTTGGCAATTTGTCTCTTTATTTTTTTATACCATTTAATACAATAATAATTATTTTATCAATATTTGTTAAGGAGGTAAGCATTTTTTTTTTTTTTTTTTGTTTTGGACACAGTGGCCACTGAAGTCAGATATGGTGTATTAAGGAAAAATGATCTTGTTGATATTAAAGCAGTTACAGTACAATTTAAGTCAATAAAATACATGTAAAGGGTTTTTTCTAGCTTCCACCTAGGTCATGTTATCTATGGCTTTTACCCCTCTGTGAGAAACAGCTAACAAGGTCACACACAAAGAAATGAACTGAGGGCTGGGGATATAGCTCAGTGGTACAGCACTTGCCTGGCAAATGTAAGATCCTGTGTTCGATCTCCCAGCTCCAGGAGAAAAAGAACTCACTGGCAAATTCTGTGCAGGCCAGAGTCATACTTCCTTCCATGCTGAAATGACAGTAATAATGTTCAAGTTATACCTTCCCAGTCTCTGCAATTCCCTTATCCAACTATAAATTCTGTGAACATTCCTAGTGCTTTTGCACCTCCAGAGTTACATATAAAACACACTTCTGGTATGGCACTCCATTTTAAGAGTTTTTAGTAAGCAAGTCATTTTAAACTCTTTTTCTGTATTGAATTAATGGTAAACTTAGTATTTCAATTCATACATCGCTCATCATGAATTCCTTGGCTCAGAAGCCAGAGAGCTCCTGTGAAATTCTAAGCTCACCATTCAAGGCCGTTCACAGCACAGCACAGCACAGCATTTGCCTGCCCATTTACACTTTCTCACTATACCCCAAGCACCTTTTGGTTCAGTCCTCATAGCTTTATTTGCTGTGTCTCAACTCAACAGATCCTTTGATGTCTCTTTTTCTACTTAAAATGTTCTTCCCCACTTACTTAAACCATTTGTCTTTTCTTATGTCATCTCTAAGCCTTTCAAATAATTTAAACCTTCACAGTCCAAGTCTTCCCAAATGACAGCCAATTTCACACATCTGTTCTCTTTCATTCACAGGAAGATCTGATTATAGGAACACATTAATAATGCATCTCTGTGCCCAGCTAAAAGGGCCTCAGATACATAAATCCTAATCCCTCAGACCTACGTGTTTTACATTACAAAATGGACTTTGCAGATGTGATCAAGGATCTTGAGGCACAGAGATTACCTGGATTATCCAGGTGAACCTTAATAATCACAGGTGCCCTTAGGCAGAGAGAGAAGTAACTGCATGTAAGAAAAGGTAATGTGAAACCAAGTGGATTTAAATGCTACTTCTATTGCTGGCTGCAATGGTAAGAGGAAAGGCCTGGGAGTCAAGGATTGAGTACAACTCAAGAGGCTGGAAAAGGCAAGATTCCACCCGCACTTCCTAAGGGGCTATGGCTATGCCAACACCTTTTCAGTGTGGTAAAAGTGATCGTACACTTCTGACTTCCAGAACTATAATAGACATACTGAACATCATCAGGTGTGCGGGAGTTGGTTACCACAGTCACAGAAGAGATACACTTTTAGAGCCCTCTAGCACCTTGGTACTCAATACTTGTGTTGAACAGTATTTTGTTTGCTAGGCACTGACTCAATCTTTCTTCCCCCATTTGCCAACTGAGTTAAATGTCTCCATTTGTCTATTAGTCAAAGGTAAACTATCTACAGCAGTCTCCCTGTGCACCACTGATCCCAACAGCCCGCAGTAGCAGGCTCACAGCCACACTGGCAGTCCTTCTTTGGTTAGGATCAGCAGAGGACCACATGACTTCTCTGAGATGTTCCTAGAAAGATGCAGGCCCCAGACATTCACTTTTCGAGTAACTAGTCAAAGTTTTTATCTCCAAAACAGGAATGTAAGCCTATAAAGTCCAAGTATAGGTATTATGAACAAAGCCAGTCCAAAGCTCATTTACACCAAAAAAAAATGAACAGAAAAAGCTGATCAGAGTTTTATTTATTGTGTCTGAAGTTACACAGCTAACATGAACATATTCTCTTGCATAAACAAAAAAAAATGTGTTTTAGAAAAAGCCAACTAAAATCCCTTATTGGAACGATATACTCCCACTGCAGTCTCTTGTTTTTCTAACTTTCAGGAATGTAGGGGCCAGGGAGATAGCTCAGTAGAGTAAGTACAAGGGCCTGAGTTCAATCCCCAGTTCTGCAAAAAAAAAAAAAAAAGGAATCTGTATTACCCAAAAGTGTGATTTCTGAGTATTTTATCAACATACACAAAGGCATAAGCATGTTTGGTTATCGAAGAATATACAACAGTGAGGCTCAGAATATTTATTTTTTCCACCTGTAGTTGGAAAAGGCACAAAGCCAAGTCATCCTCTTTCTATAAAGGAAAGCAAGGTAAGTCACACTAAAAGTTCCTTCTTATAGTTCATAATCCTGTCTGGAACTCTGCCTCTCCCTTTCAACATCATTTTGTCAGAGTAGACATGAACTGTGCCAAAGGCTTGGCTATCTGGAGCTGCTTCAATGACTCCCTCTAGGTCCAGGTGGTGCACACCAAAGGGGTCTTCAGAGTAGCCGCCGTCATGCGTGTGACCAGCAATGAAACACACCACACACTTGTGAGACCAAATGACTGCCAGAGCGTCTCTGTAGTTCCAGGCCAGGCACACAGTGTCAGAGGCTTCTGGGTAAATGGGGATATGGCCTGTTAAAGAAAAGGAGTTGTAAACCAATTAAGAAATATCTTTTCTATCCAGAAAAATGGCTGAAACCTAGTACTAAGGAAAACTGCATATTACTGCATTATCATCCAAATAGATAAGAGACCAGAGAGAATTCATACATAAAGAAGTAGGTATCTACCATCACATCTCTGGTGCACAAAAAGGAGGGTGATATCATCACCAATGAGGTGGGAGAGCACAGAGGACTCTGCCTGAGATCTCTGAGGCCTACACAAGTCTCCAGTTGCACAAACATGGAAGATCAAAGGCATCCTGTACAGCAAGTCTGTAAAGTCTGCCTCAAATCAGGCAGGTGCCATACTGGAACCCAACCTCATTGATTTCCTTATATGTTATACATACAGATAGATGTAATACTAAATAAAAGAACAATTTAGGGACTGGTCATGGATGATGTCATTTATATAAACAATGCTATAGAACTGATTAATGAATAGCCCCATCAGTCAAGATAGCCATATCCAGTTTATTGATGAAAAAAACTATTCAAGCAGGGAAAGTTTATGTTGCACCCCATAGAAAACATGTACAAGTGGATGTAGCTTTTTTTTTTTTTCGGTACCAGGGATTGAACTCAGGACCTTGCACTTGCCAAGCAAGCGCTTATTCTACTGAGCTATCTCCCCGACCCAAATATATGGTTTTTTTGTTTTTGTTTTTGTTTTTTTGCGGTACCGGGGATTGAACTCAGGATCCTGCGCTTGCCAGGCAAGCACTTGTTCCACTGAGCTATCTCCCCAGGCCTTTTTTAAAAAAATTTAGAAAAGGGTCTACAGGGCCTCACTATGTAGATTGGACTCGAAGTAATTCTCCTGTTTTCGGCCTCCCAGGTGCTGGTTGTCATCTCAGTGTACCCCCAGGGGGAGGGCCAGCACGGCAGGCCAGGATAGAACCTCGACTGCTTTGATCTGCCTAAGTAGGTGCTTTAGTCTGCTGAGCTATCTGGCCAGCCCTTGTAGAATTCTGAAGCTAACACATCTGTGAGCCTGGCAAATACTGAGCTAGCTGAACTCTGATGTCCAGGAAACACAGTTCATTGATCTCTGCTTTCGCCCAATAAATCACTTTTTTTGTTATTATTCATTTTTATTCTGAAATTTAAATATTCTCTTCATAAACATGTTATAATACAAGTGAAAAGGATGGAAGGAGTTAACAGGCCCCTAAGGTCGGAAAGGAATTCATGTACATATGTCCCCCCTCTTGCACACATGCGTGTGCACACATACACACAGAGCAATTGCCTGTGATAAGATCCAAGAGTCCAACAAATTGTGTAGAAGCTATATTGACCCATGAATCAAATTATACAATTACTTGCCCCCTTCTCCTGAACATACTTGGCTTCTAAGATGATGCTAACCTTTCTCCAATTTCAAAGACCATTTCTTTTCAATATCCTCCCCTGGTTTCTCCTATATTCCTTGGCATCCTGTCAGAAGTACCAGAAGCTTGATTCTTGGACTTTTCCACTATACTTAATTCCTTGGTGATCTCTTCATGATTTTCACATCTTTAAATCTAATAGGCATATGAAACTTAGTATGTCCAGTGCCAGCCTGTACTACACAGCAAGTCCCTGTCTCAAAATACCAAAAAGAAAAACCAGATGTGAAGAAAGCAGGGTAGAGGGGAAGGATGTTGGGACATAAAATGGATGCCAGTCTCAGTTCTGTCAGCAGCTATGGCGCTTTATCTATGTAGCTTAAACTCTTCAGGTTAGTTCGCCTTCAAAAAATCAAAAGATTTTTCTACATGGTCTCTAGGTTGCTTTCAGCTCAAAAACTCTCAATCTGGCAGTGTCAAACCAAAAACCAGACACAAGACAGGAAGCTGCCAATTTTTTAAGGCCACTTATGGCAGAGTCAAATGGTGTCATGACATACCAATGACCTGAGAGAACCTTATCTTTTTAGGTCTTGACACTTGGTGGTCAAATGGCAGCAGACACTCCTCCAACTGTTTTTATAGTAGAAGCTTAATATAAAAAAAAAAAAAACTACATTTATGGATAGAAATACAATTCTATAGTATCAACTACATTAATTGCTATCCTTTTTTTTTTTTTTTTCATTTATGTATTTGGTGTAAGGTCTCACTATGCAGCTCCATCTCTTAGTGATTTTCCTGTTTTCAGCCTCTCCAGCGCTGGGATTACAGGAGTGTGTACCACCACCACCACATGCGGACTCAGTAGCCTGCTCAGCGCACCTCGGGGGTGGGGCCAGAGCAGTATGCAGGACTAGGGATCAAACCCTAGTCCCTGCACTTGCCAAAGCAGGCACTTAGTCTACTGTGCTATCTCCCAAGCCCAAGCTATCATTTTTAAAGTCATAATTTTACTTGATGCAATACAGAGAAAACTGCAGTTTGTATGTTCAGTATTTTTTCAGAGCTACATGATTCATCTAATAAATAAGAGCCAGAAAAGGCTGCCATCCTCTGGCTCTCAGTCCAGACTTCTCATCCATTTATGTCATGATTTTAACGCAAGGGCTTTAACATCAGCCCCAAACCAAGTCTACCAGCGCTACTGAAAATTCAAATTCCATTCACGAGTAAGCACACACATGTGTTTTAAGTACTTCCAGAATCCCAGAATCTGGAGGGCTTACAGGTTAGCTCAGTTGTTTAAAGCGCCTGCTTGGGCAAACTTAGTCGGGCACAGGGGACTGCAGTTCGATCCCAGGCTCCACAAGCCGCACCAGACCTGCCCTTAAGGCAGCCTGAGCTAGAAAAAAAAACAAAAAAAAACTTACTTTCTCCAGAATCCCAGATGGTGGTATTAGTAAAAAATGATTCTGAATGGAAATGATATAAATCTAATTTCCTTGAAATCATCTGGCTGATAAAAACAGTAAAAGTGCTTACTGCCATCTGAGTCTGTCAGGTCAGCCCATAAGGTATCAGCTGTGCTGCAGCTGGGCAGGAGTGGCCCTGTTTGGTGGCCCTTTATCATTTAAAAATTATTATAAAAATTGATTCAGGGAAATTCTACTTTGAGATCTACAAGGGCAACTCGTAGGCTCAAATGTATGGCAAGATGGTTTCTGTTGTACTGTAACTCTTTCCTAGTTCATTCTTTTTTGAGATAGGGTCTCGCTATGCCGTTCAGGCTGGACTAAACTCACTATGTAACCCAGGCTGGTTCTGAACTCTTGCTGATCCTCATGCCTCAGCCTCCCAACTGCTGGGATTATAAGCACACGCCACGCCTCTGTCCCAACTCATTCCTAAATATAAATTTTGATTCAGGTTATGTTTCAATAAAAATTTTAAAGCATCCATTTTCTAGAAAGAGGATACCAAAACATACATATTGATAGTTCTTTAAAAACATTTCCCAATCTCTAAAATATTTCTGTAATCAGATAAACAATTTACATACTTACTCACAATCACCACTTTTTCTTGGTTTGTGTCAGAGAACGTAAGAACATCATTCAACCAGTTCAGCTGTTCTTGGCTGAATCCTCCATTGAACTGGACAAACTGGGGCTCAAACAGTCCTGAATGGATTCAGTAAGTCACACCCATCAAATGTCATTCTTTTCCTCATTTGGGCATCCAAACGAGGACACTTGTTCTTTTCTTTAGAAAAATCTCATTAGCAGCAATAAAGTTTAAATAGAATTTTGACCAATATACAAGTAAGTTACATTTTCTTACTTCTAGTCTTGGCACTGTTTGGTTTACTGGCTTTCCATTGCACTCGAAAGAAAACAGGAATTCCTTACTATGTCTCCTGAGCCCCATGTTCATTCTTCAAAAACATCTTGTACCTCACTGGTCCTTTTCCATGTTGTTCAATACCCAAGTCTTATTCCACTTAAGTGCCTTTGATTGCTTTTCTCTCTTTATCTGCTAACCTCCTAGCCCTCACCTTCTAGGATAGCTCCTTCATCTAGATACTCACTTCCGCTTAAATGATTTTCTTCTTGGAGAGTCTTTCTTATATAATCTAAAGTAGCCTCCCTGATACTTTTCTGTAACCTTGCTCTGCAACACTTAGCACTGCAGAAATAACATGTTTCTGCTCGCTAGGGTTGGGCCCTCATGTCTCCAGAGGGCCCATGTATTAAAGGCTTAGTTCTTGCCCATGGCAGTATCAGGAAGGTGGTGGACTCTTCTTGAGGTGTGACCTGGTGGGAATTCACATTAAGTCACTAGGGGTGTGACCCTGAATGGGGTATCTGGACCGTAGGTCCCCCCACACACACTCTGCTTTTCTGCACCATAAGGCTAGGAGCTGCTCCACCACTTCCTGCCATGATGTGCTCACCAGGGTCCAAAGATAATGGGGCCAAGTGCAGATGAACAGAAATCTCTGAAATCATGCACCAAAATCGGCCTTTCCTCAATATGTGTTATCTCAGGTACTTTACCATGATAGGAAGTTTATATGTTTATTAAATGTCTTGTCTACCTACTCTTTTGGGTCTCTTCATCCCATTCACAAGGGAAAAAGTGATTGGCCCAGAATGAAACCTGAATCAATTACCAAACCAAGACATCAGGCTTGTGTGAAATCCTGACCCTGAACAAGAACGACATACACTTTTACCTCAAGCATCCATTTTCCTGCTGAATAAAAGGAAGCTGAAGAATTTAAAGACAATGTATTAGATTCTCAGTTCAAAGGAATAATTCACCTTTTGGACTATTCAATTCCTTATTTGGGTTGTGCTCCCTCAGTATCTTCATACACTGCTGGTATTTTGGAGAAGACTGATCTATACCCAAGATACTCAAGTCATAAGAATCAAGTAAAATGAACCGGAATTTAGGGAATGGTACAAAATGATAAGCATAATAATTCTCTGAAGGCACAGTCTCAGGATGATGTGCAATCCTATCTTCTAGAAACTTTGTGTTAAGTTTAGAGTTTATTAAATAGTCTCTACTGAAGTTATAAAATTCATGGTTTCCCCATGTATGATGAACTGGGACTTTGAGCATCTGAAATGTGTTCATAACACGTTCTAGGGACTTTTCTGATGTTTTATACTGTGCATTATAGCCATCGATGACATCTCCAAGTTGGAGGACACAGCAGGGCATGCTGCTTTCTTTATTCCACTCTTCAATAGCGCCAGTTAGGTGAAGAAGACTCTGTCGGTAGTACCGCCGCCTGCTTCCTTGGTAATTGTACCCATCTTCTAAATCAGCATACTGGATATCTGCTATAACTCCAAAGGAGAAGAGCCATTCTGAACTGTCTCTCATGGTCTCAGGATCGAGCTTCTCGGCCATAACTTCTGATGGGGTTTCTAAATAAAGAAAGTGAAAAAGATACTGAAGTTAAAAATACCTTAATTTTCTAATTGGGCTGAAGAATATGATAAAATGAGTATTAAACATAATAGTTAATTCCCTGGGCAGCTTGACAGAAAATAGCACATGGATTTTAGAACTCACTTCACAGCATGAGGTCTAACATATTAAGGCTCAAAAGAATATAAAATAAAATACTAGGCTCTGAAACACTCCAATTTTCTCCAACCGTGAAATAGATGACAAACTTTATCTTTCAGAAGAGTAACAATTTACAAGTGTATTAACTTGTGAGTGAACAGCCATTTTAATTCTAGTAAAGTCATATTCAAATATGGGATAATTTCTGACATTCAAAAATACATGTTCATTCAAAAAGTATAACATATATCCTTTCCCACAAACATCAAATAATCCCATTAAAACTTCAAGGTATAGTACACTCATCCATTCACTGTATTTTATACATAAGATTCTTACTTTGAAGATAGGACTTTTCTCTTTGCTGATGGGTAGGGACACCCGAAATAAGCTTCTTGTATTTTATACCCAAAGTAATTGGAAGATACAGTGAAGATATGAAAACAGGAGAATAATTTTGAACAAAAACTATAATACAAATGTACTGTCATAAGCAGTGGTTCCTGATTCTTTGAGAGTTAACCATCTAATCTGAACCAGTTTTGTTTTTTTCAAATCTTAACATTAACCTTCCTTGCCTCACAGCCAAACTAGAAACCATGAAATCTTTTCATCTTATACATGATCTCTACCCTTTATAATCTAAATTTGTAATTGCTAAAGGAATGAAGAACTAAGTATTAGGACAAAAATCAAAGTCCAAGGTCCTAAGTTACCAACAGTTGTTTTGATATAAAGACTACAGTAATAAATCATGGTGGTAGTACCTGAACTTATTCAAATCCACTTGTTTCTAAAAGCTCATTTGACTTTCTGAAATTCAAAATTTATTTGACTTTAGATCCGAGAGTCTAATCGTTTGCCCAATATATGTAGAATCTCTAGTCCTCTACAGACTTGTGAAATACCAGTTGCAAGAGCACTCCTAAAAGAGGTGGAAGATGCAACTCCATAGTCAGGACAGAGGTCAGTCTTCAGGTGAACTTATTTGAGAACTAAGGAGGTTCTTTTTAACATAAAATTTTTGTCACTAATGATAAACATCTTACCTAGTCCAACCGCTTAGTTGTTTTAGCTTTCTGTTTTTCCTTAATTTGGGTGTAACTAGTCCCAAAACAGATGAAACAGCAACAGAAAAAGGGAAGTCTGAAAAGTGGTTATCTCCATGCTACTTTTAAACTTTGCTGATTTCTTTCTGTAGTGTCCATCTGAAAACCTCAGCAGATATGTCAGTGGCTATGTATGATGAGGTGATATCTGCATTTGTTTCTATAAATGAAACTGGTCTGACAAGTGGAAAAACTCAGATACAATTAAAAGAAGTACATGTCAATTAAAAACCTCTCATCATGGTTTTCAAATACCCATGTATCCAAATACAGATTAGAAGGAATGTGAATATTACCACTAAAGCCTAAAAGCGAACCATTTCTAGGGATACTCTTATTCCTGGCAAATGAGCATTTTTTTCTTTTTAATATTTAAACTCAGAACACTGATGGTGATGGTGATATGTGCTGTGTATCTCCTAGAGGGGACTTCGATCTCTAGCCATTAAGTAGCTGTTATTTTTGCCTGCCCAGCAATCATTCCTGCCTTAGGTAACAGCACTCCAATTTTCCGATAGGCATCTAGTCAGTTCCTTAACTATCTCTTCTTGATTTTTGAGGAAGTGAAAGACAGTGACAAACTTATGACCTAAGTTTGGTCTCACAAAGCCCAGTTACCTTCTGACCAGTTAAAGAGAAATTTACAACCAAGCATGAAACCCAAAAGTACTACTTTTGCTGATTTATTATATAAGCTTGAATTTCTGGGGAAAAGTGAACTGAGAAGAACTCCAACATAAAACAAAACAAAGCTGAATGACACAGAGCAGTAGAGTCCTGGAAATAGTCACTGAAAATTCCACCCACCTGCCCCCTCTAGTGCTACCCTTTAGTTAGTTATTTCAGCAAATAAATTCCCCTTGGAGCCTAAGAGCAAATCAAGGTGACTTTGTACCATTCAAGAACAAAATCATGTGAAATACACCTTCCACTGGAACAATTCAGTTTAGGGAAACTTACACACTTTGGCAACTTTTTAAAGAAGGTTATACAATGTGGAGCAAAATATCAAAGGGCCCACAATTCAAAACATTAATCATTCTAGGGCAGAAAAAAGACTGCAGCAGAGAGTAATTACAGCTTTTAAAAGTAAGGTCAAGGATAGGGAGGTGACATACAATCTTATTAAGTAAAGAAACTATTTTGAAGAGACAAGCAGGATCAGAAATAAAGCAGGGAGATAGAGAGAGGGAGAATCATATGGGCAAGGACATGACCCTCCTTGCTGGTTCAGGGTTTTATTTTATGGTTCAGGGAGCTCAGAAAGATTGGCCCTTGTGGACTGATCAAAAACCTCACCGTGCCTTCCAGTGGGCATTCTCACAGCATGGAACTTTTTCAAAATAGTGCTTTCCTTTACCAAATACATAAAAAAAAAAAAAAAAAAAAAAAAAAGTGCAGAAGATAACAATTGTTGAAGATAGTTATGAGTCAATTAATAATGATAGAAATTTTGATGTGGAATCAGTAAATAAAGAAATCCACAGAGTAAAAATCGTGAAATGCACATTTTAGGGTAAGAGAAGCGACTCTGAGACTTTGGGATATGACTTAAAATTCCGTGCCCAAATTCTTGGAGTTCAAGAATCTCTAAGTTGTTGGGGCCTGCCAGTTAGTTAGCTCAGTTGTTTAAGGGCCTGCTCATGCAAACGCAGTCAGGCACAGGGGACAGCAGTTCAATCCCCAGCTCCACATGCCTTACTAGACCTGCCCTTAAGGCAGCCTGAACCAGCCAAAAAGAAAAAAAAAAAAAAAAGGAATCTATACGTTGTTATGCCAACAACATGCTCCACAATCAACCATCACTCAGTGATGATGGTTCAACAATGAAGAGCAAAGAACACCTCTCCACAGGCATTCATATACCTCTGAGACAGCACTGTTGGACAGATCTGGAAGACAAATGAAGGAAAAGCCCACAGCCACATAATGCAATCACAGAAATTTCTTTCCTTAGAAGGTAAAGAATGATTTTAATGATTTATTTGAAAATCTATTAGAGGAACTTCATTTGATTCAACAGAAATTCATGGATGAAACTTCAGAATTACCTTATGAAAAATTTGGGACTTCACTTATTTGAAGACACATTTGTAAAATTTCATAAAGCAATAGAGAATTCATGAATTTGGGGCCGGGGAGATGGCTCAGTGGAATAAGCACTTCCCTGGCAAGTGCAAGGGCCTGAATTCAATCCTCAGTTCAGCAAAAAAAAAAAAAAAAAACAAAAACATGAATCTGAACAAAGACTACACCAGCTAAAGGAAGAGACTTAAAACAAACCCTATCCTCCTTTCAAGCAAGGAGACACTTCCTATCAAGTAACTACTTTGGTGTCCATCTTCATAATGCTCACTTCTTCCAAAGCCAGGAGTCAAGGGAAAGAGCAAGCCCCAGCCGGGACACTCAGCTTGTGAAACCAGATTGAGGACACAGTCTCTATTCCTTGCTGGGCCTCAAACTATTCTACGTAGCTAAGTCAGACAGAAGTAAATTTATAATCAGAGAGGGACCATGCTCTCAAGGATATCAGCAAAAATATAAGATTTTAGAATTAGAATTGTGGCTGGACACTCCTCTAAGAAGGCCAGGCCTAAACCCGAGATTATACTGCAATTAGTATCACCAGTCCAGTACAGCCTGGTAGGCACCAGGTTCTCGGCTGGGTGACCCATCCCTTCCCAAAAGTGCCTTGGTTCCTTCCTGCAGCCTTGCCATGGGATTCCTTTCCCACTGGATCAATATTAGCTAAGTAGCTACATTGTAATCCTATAGGTTGAATGTAGTTTAACCCATGTTGTACCCATATCGTCATTTTACTGTATAAATAACACATGACAAAGCATCTCAGTGGCTACTTCATTCAGGACCTCACCTGTAAATTCAGGAACTAGTCTTCTCTCATTTCCAATAAAACTCTTCTAACTTCTTCCTTTCACTCTCGACTTCATTCCCCAATGTTGTGGGACTAGCAACTTGGCATACTTAACATCTAACAGGCTGGAACATGTATTTCTCCTCTATTCAGACTGAAACCCCTACTGGCTCTTGCCTATTCAGTGCTGATTCACATTTCTGGCACCATGAGTGTTTCTTACCTCTCTTTCACTTTCCTTACTTTTTCTTCTCCAATTAAATGTTTTTCAGGGAAAATAAAAACTGAGCTTCTAAAGTGTACCGAAAATAGCATCAGAGAATTAGAAAACCCAAGGATTATATTTTGCTTTCTATTATTAAGAATGACAAGTTTTCAGTGAACTTTATTCAGAAAATTCTGCCTGCAAAATTTAACATGCACCATTTACCATTATGAAGTCTTAGGCCTTTTAATAAAGGTGTAACTGATATAGGACATGAGCAAAAACTTGCTTCAGTGATCATGAAAATTAGAATACAGGCAATGGTAAAAAGTTTTAGTTAAAAGCTTTGAAGAAAGTGGAAAGGGACTTCAGCTTGAGAAGTGGCCCAAACTGAATAGCACACAACTCTGATGAAGAACATACTGGCCTGTTAATAAAAGAATAGCTTTTGAAGGTGTTGCTAAGGTGTACCAGGGTCTGCTAATTTTTTTTCCTTTTTTATTTTTAATGTATTTAGTACAGGGTCTACAGCGTCTCACTACATAGATCAGACTCTTCCTCCTATTTTTCAGCCTCTCAAGAAAGCTTCTCCACACCCAGTCTCATTTGCTATCTCAGCACACCCTAGGGGCGGGGCCAGCATGGCAGGCCAAGGATCGAACCCCTGGCCATTGTGTCTGCCTAAGCAGGCACTTTAATCTGCTGAGCTATCTGGCTGGCCCTTCCATTTGGTTTTGAGTATAGTACTTTTCTGAAACTTCTTTGTGTTTTAAGGGATTTGCTCCCATCCAGGATACAGATTAGCACCTGTTCTCACCTTGGAGACATCCCCATGGTAACCTGCTGCCACTGGGCATTTGCACTAAGAGTGGGTGGGGTAGGGGAGTACATGAATCCATACATTGTTGGGGGGACAGGAAGATAAAGGATTTCACCAGCCTCTTGCATTCATGAGAGTCCCTGACTCATTTCATGGTGAGTTTTGAAGCTGAAAGCCTGGAATCTAGGCATAATCGCAGTTTTCCCTAAAGCAAAACTACCACTCACTAGATTGTTATGATTCAGCTTAGTTATAATGGAAAGCAGGTACTTCATAATTCTTTCAATCATAAAGCACCACATGCATTTAATGATTTTAGTAATTATATAATCCAACAATTTATGTCTAATGAGTCTCAGGTTAACTGAAACTTCTTGCTAGAATAGCATAAACCTTACAATGTTTTCTCTCAAAATGGCTATGAAATGTCATGGTGCAGGGACAAACAGCCAACATTTTGTGAAAGCCACCTGAGGCATAAGTGACTTTAAAACTAATAAATACCCAGGAATACTTAACTGGACACTTACTACAAGATGACACCAGTAAGGCCTCAAGAATATCAGTGAAAAGATCTTGTTTCTTAAGACTATTGTATAAGGGCCGGCTAGATAACTCAGCGATTAAAGCACCTGCTTAGGCAGATGCAGGGGCCGGATGCTCAGCTTGCTGTGCTGGCCCACCCCTGGGGTGTGCCGAGACAGCAATTGAGACTGGGCATAGTGACCGCATACCTATAATTCTAGGACTTGGGAGTCTGAAAAGGAGGATCATTAGGAGCCCAATCTGTGTATTGAGACCTCATACTAAATACAAAAAAAAAAGACAATTGTATAGAAGCTCTAACTGGTAACTAAAAGTGTCTCAGAAAAAAAGACAAAGCTTTTATGTACAGAGACCATGGAAAGAACAAAGCAGGAGAGATGTCTTGAAACCCAATTGTTTAAATTGGGAAGAAACTGTTCAAAAGAAAAGACAAACTGAGATGTGGAAAGGAAAAATAAAGGAAAAAAAAAAAAATATATATATATATATTATATAGTTAAAATTGTTACACAACTAGTTTCTCTTAGTTCATTAAAAAGAAAGTATTGTGCTAATATTATATACACCACATAGCATGTATATATATGCATATACCTTCTACTCTGAAAATCTACCAGGATGATGATGGTACACAATGTAGAGAAGCTGTTTTAAGCTCAGTATCACTGTTATGTTTCTCTTTTTTTAACAAAAAGCAAAGAGGGGCCAGGGAGATGGTTGGGGCCAGGGAGATGGCTCAGTGGAGTAAGTGCTTCCCTGGCAAGTGCAGGGGCCTGAATCCCCAGTTCTACAAAAATAAAAATAAAAATAAAAATAAAAATAAAAATAAAAATAAAAAAAGCAAAGTACAACTGGGATGGGGGAAAGGAGAAAAGGAAGGGAAA